TTCTACTTGCTCTGAATACAGTGAGTTTCAATGTTCATATATCCTGCTCTTGAACAAACTGACCCACGCCTTTATGTATTACACCCTGACACTGTGTCACATACCCAAGCAGGCCTTTGTGACTCAGTCACTGAGCAGGCATGCCCGGTCTCCCCACACGGTGCTTCCGCTGGCCACTCGTTCACACGCAGCAGTAGCAGCATCCCTGTGTGCAATGTCGTGTCTGTGCAATTATTAGTACTTGTTATTACACGTTGCTTTGGTTCTTTAATAAAGATTAGTAAAATAAAAATGAAAGTGCTGATAAGAAGCATGTCTTTTAAAAGTTACTGTAACCGAGAACAATGTTTGGGGGGATTTGGTGAGGCACACTTTGAAAGCAGCGAGTGTGTTCCTTCATTTGGACGTTTGTTGGACCTAAGCCAATCACTGTACCCAGTTATGAAAGAAAAGAAAAGAAGGAACAGGTGTGAAATGTTGAAACTCTATGGTCAAAGGCTGGGTTTAAAAGGGCAGATTTAGGGACTTCCCTGGTGGCACAGTGGTTGGGAGTCTGCCTGCCAATACGGGGGACATAGGTTTGAGCCCTGGTCCGGAGGGATCCCACATGCCACGGAGTAACTGGGCCCACGTGCCACAACTACTGAGGCCGGCATGCCTGGAGCCTGTGCTTCGTAACAAGAGAGGCCACCTCAATGAGAGGCCCGTGCACCACAACGGAGAGTGGGCCCCGCTCACTGCAACTAGAAGAGCCTGCGCGTAGCAGCGAAGACCCAATGCAGCCAAAACAAATAAATAAATTTATTTTAAAAAAAAAGAAAAAGGGGCAGATTTAAGGAGCGGTTTTGCGATTTGACTTAATGTGCGGATGGAACATCCCCGAGAAGATGGAAGCTGGGTGTTTATCTATTTATTTTTAAAATAAATTTATTTATTTTATTTATTTTTGGCTGCATTAGGCCTTTGTTGCTGCACGCGGGCTTTCTCTAGTTGCGAAGAGCAAGGGCTACTCTTCGTTGTGGTGTGCGGGCTTCTCATGTTGCAGAGCACGGGCTACAGGCACGTGGGCTTCAGTAGTTGTGGCACGCGGGCTCAGTAGTTGTGGCTCACAGGCTCTAGAACACAGGCTCAGTAGTTGTGGCGCACGGGCTTAGTTGCTTCACACATGTGGGATCTTCCCGGACCAGGGATCGAACCTGTGTCCCCTGCATTGGCAGACAGATTCTTAACCACTGAGCCACCAGGGAAGTCCCTGAAGTTGGGTGTTTAACTCTCAGTTAGACTTTCTCCAGTGTTTTCAGGAAACATTCAGCATGAAAGTCTTTAATCAGCATATCTGATCCGTTGGTTTCTGCAGAGGACTTCTCTCTTACCCCCCTCCCTGCTGTGCCCTGGCCGAGGACCCATTAGTAAACCTCTCTTAGTGTTGTGATCACTTTTGCTTTTTACCTTTTTTTTTTTCCTAATAAAAAAAAGGTTCATACCATTACATCATTGACATCCCTCTGAGTTGGGTAATATAAACCTAAATAATTTTTAATAATTGCCTGTTATATTATGGATTTCCCATAATTTGTTCAGCCGTTCCCTGATTGATGACTTTCCATTAGTTTCTAATTATTTCACTCCACACTGTGCAGTCCACATCCGTATTTGTATGTGACAGTGCTTTTGATTTTGTAAGCTGGATTACCAGAGGCGGAAATGAAGGGTCAAATGATACGTATGTCTTAAAATTTAATAGCTTTTGCCATATTTCTTTCCCCCAATTGCACAGCAGTTATTACTCCTTCCAGCAACGTAGGGAGTGCCTTCTATCTCTCATCTAAAATTCCTGCCAGCTGAAGAGGTGAAAGGCATTTCGTTGTGGTTTTTTTTTTTAACGTATTTTTTTTTGGCTGCGTTGGGTCTTCGTTGCTGTGCACAGGCTTTCTCTAGTTGCAGCGAGCAGGGGCTTCTCTTGTTAGGAGCATGGGCTCCAGTAGTTGTTGCCCGTGTGCTCAGTAGTTGTGGTTCGCAGGCTCTAGAGCGCAGGCCCAGTAGTTGTGGCGCATGGGCTTAGTTGCTCCGCGGCATTTGGGATCTTCCCAGGCCAGGGATCAAACCCGTGTCCCCTGCATTGGCAGGCAGATTCTTAACCACTGCACCACCAAGGAAGTCCCTCAGTGTTGCTTTAATGTGCACTTTGTGGACGGCCAGTAAGCTTGAGCGACTTTGTGCATAATTGCATAATTGTTCACGGTTTGCGTTTCATTTCTACTCCTGTAAGTTACCGCTTCACTTGTTCTTTGCCCTTTTTTCTACTGGATTGCTTTCTTTGTGTGTATGTGTTAAAATGGTCTTTCCTTTTTTACATTATTAATTACTAAATTACGGTGATAGTAGATAATATTTATTATTTTTAGATGAACTTAACCTCACAGAATAGAAATATAGTAATCTTCTCTTGGACCCCATCCTCAGTTTTTATTCTTAGTTCTACTGGTCTGAATCCAAAAACTTTGGAGCCACCTATCTAACCCACCTCTTTGTTTTTTTATGTTCCTTTAAAGTAAAAAGCTATGTATTTTTTTATTAGAAAAGTAACATAACATTATGATTTTGAAAAATAGAGGTTCAAGAAAGGAAAAACAGAAGTTTTCTTGCTACCCTAACATCTGGGTTGCTTTTGCATTGATTTGTAGTAGCTTTTGTCTGATAGGTAATATATGCTTTTTGGCATATGTGCCGCAGATATTTTTTTCCCTTTTTTTGGTCTTTTGCTTTGTGTATAGTGTCTTTCGCCATAAAGCTTTCTTTCTTTTTTTTTAATTGAAGTGTAGTTGATTTACAGTATTTCAAGTGTACAGCAAAGTGATTCAGTTATACATACGTGTGTGTGTGTGTGTGTATACACACACACACACACACATTCTTTTCTAGATTCTTTTTCACTGTAGTTTATTACAGGATACTGAATAGAGTTCCCAGTGCTATACAGTAGGTCCGTGTTGTTTATCTGTTTTATATATAGTAGTGTGTATCTATTAATCCCAGCCTCCTATTTATCCCCCCCCGCCTTTCCCTTTGGTAACCATTTCTTTTCCATGTCTGTGAGTCAATTTCTGTTTTGTAAATAAGTTTTTACATTCTACATATAAGTGATATCATATGATATTTATCTTTCTCTTTACCTTTGTACTTATTTCACTTACTGTGATAATCTCTGTTTCCATCCATGTAGCTGCAGTTCCATCCATGTGGTTGCAAATGGTGTTATTTCATTCTTTTCTATGTCTGAGTAGTATTCATTGTATATATGTACCACATCTTCTTTATCCATTCGTCTGTCAATGGACACTTAGGTCACTTCCATGTCTTGGCTATTGTATATAGTGCTGCTGTGAACATTGGGGTGCATGTATCTTTTTGTTTGTTTTTTAATTTATTTGGTTGCACCGGGTCTTAGTTGCAGCAGGTGGACTCTAGTTGTGGCTCGCCGGCTCCTTAGTCGTGGCATGTGAACTCTTAGTTGCAGCATGCACGTGGGATCTAGTTCTCTGACCAGGGATCGAACCCGGGCCCCCTGCATTGGGAGCATGGAGTCTTAAACACTGTGCCACCATGGAAGTCCCCTGGAGTGCATGAATCTTTTTGAATTAGAGTTTTTGTCTTTTCCGGGTAAGTGCCCAGGAGTGGGACTGCTGGATCATATGGTAACTCTATTTTTAGGTTTTTAAGGAGCCTCCATACTCTTTTCCATAGTTGCCATGAATTTTTAAAACCTCTTTATGTTATTTGTATTGCTTTTCTTTATGCCATATAGTTTTCCTCACATGACACTACTTTTTTTGCTAAATTTATCCTGTGGTGTTTTAGAATTTTTGTTGCTAATGTGAATGGGATTTTATTTTCTTTTTCCTTTCAACTGGATCTATGACAGGGAGAAAAACTATTGATTTGTATATACTTGTTTTGCCTCCAGACAACTTACTAAATTTTTCCCAGTTTTTAGTCTATTGAGTCTTCCTGGCATAGAGTCAGATCATTTCCAATTAAAGGTAATTTTATCTCTTTCCAATACTTCTTCAATTTTTTCTTTTGTAGTACAGGTTGTTAGGACTTCTGTTGAAGTTATTAAACCTCTCTTAGGGGTAAAAATCACGTCCTGCTTGGAGTCGTAGCCTTGGCCATCCTGGGTCAGTCGCATAGTCATGTTTGCTCTTCACGGCAGAAGCTGTGGTATCAAGTGACTTCACAGCCAGCTTGTGCAGGCTCCTTCCTTGCCAGCTAGATTCTGAGCCCTTTAAAGTTGGGGACCATGCCCTCCCTGATTTTATGTCCCTCAGAACCCAGCAGAGAACGGGGCGCATAACAGGCACACGTTGGACTGTCAGATGTGTTGAAGGTGCCCCCATTCTCTCCTTCCAGAGCCCCCCACTTCCTCCTTGGAGCCATCTCTGCCCTGCGGACTCTACAGCAGATGACCAAGTGCTCTCTGCCCAGAGGGCCCTTCTCCCTTACCTGCCCAGCAGAATTTAGATTTTTTTTGAGCCTCTAGACCAGAGAAGTTCCCCTTCTCAATCTTTATCAGCATCACCTGGAGGGCTTGGTAAAACACAGATTGTGGGGTAACCCCCAGGTTTCTGATTCACTTCGTCTGGATTGGGACCCAAGGGTTTTGCATTTCTAACAAGTCTGCATGCTGCAGGTCCAGGCAGTGCAGTTTGAGAACCGCTGCTCAAGACTGGAGTTGGTGACCTCGTGGGTGGAAGGCTCAGAGTTCTTTGCGTGAACGAGGCAGATTCTGGTGCTGGTCCAAGTTCTGCTCACGTAGTCGGGTCCCCTTCCCTTCACCGGAGGGGTGTCTGCCGGTCCCCGTCCCTCCACTGTGATCCCCTGCACCAAGTCAGGGTGTGTGTCGGGGGCACGCGGTAATCATCTTTCACTGGGTAGGCGATTCCAAGTGAAAAGCATTGTCCAGGCTTAACGAAAACTCACTCCCCTTTCCACCCTGTCAGCCTCTGCACTTAGATACCTTCACGAAAACAGGATCATCCATCGGGATCTAAAGCCAGAAAACATTGTCCTGCAGCAAGGGGAACAGAGAGTGAGTGACCCTCCAGGGCCTGGGGAGGGCGGGTGGCAGCTGGGCGGGGGAGGAACCCGCTTTGTGTGTTTGCGTTTCTTTGCTCACATATTTGCTTTGATTCTCTGGAAATGCTTTTTGATTTGAAACGAAATTCCGCGGAAAAGTTCTCGCTTGCAGATTGAGGCAGGTTTGAATGGACCACATTGTTAGTCATCCAAGTTGCAGGAATCTGATAAGTAAAATAATGTTTGTCTTCTAGCTGACACCCCCAGCCTTTGGGACTTGCACTTCTTGGAAATGGACTTTCTGTTTTCCATCTGTTTGAGAGCCTCAGCTTTTGAAGCTGACAGGGAGTCCATCTATGAGTTGGTTCTGGACGTGGCTGAGAGGAGGCATTTGGAGCTGGCACCTGCCCATGGGGCCTGGTCCAGCCTGCAGTTTCCCCAGAGCTCTCAGGGACCTTTTCCGGGGCCCCCTGCTCGGGTGTGGGGTAACCTCCCCGCAGGGCTTGGCCCTGTGCTCTTCCTGGCCTTGTTTGTTCAGCTGGGTGACGGGCAGGGGCCCAGCTGAGTGGGATGCAGTCACTCAGCTCACAGACTGTCTGATCTCTTCCACGCAGCTTCCTCCAGCATCCTAGGTGTGACCCACGCCTGTCCTAGCTCTCACCTTTGGCCCAGTTCACGCTCATTCCTGTCAGTTCTAAGATTTGAGAACTAAAGGTATTTACTGGGAAGGAGCTGGCCTGGTCCTTTGCGTCTAGGTTTAGCAGTCCTGAGGGCTGCTGCGTGGTCTGCTAATTTTGACCTTCCTCTGGCAGTTGGTCGCAGAGCAAGGGAGAACATGTGCCTGGCGTTTTTACATTGTTTTCTTTTGCCTAAAGCTACCGTGTCTAGGGCATTCTCCTGTGTATTTGGTGGTCCTTTGGAACGTAGGGTCTTAGGATTGGAAATTCAGAAATATCCTCTGCTCTAACAGAGACATCCAGAATTCTTGAAGGACAGTATACTCTCATAACCGTCAGGTTTCTCCTCCCTTTTTTTTTCAGTTAATACACAAAATTATTGACCTAGGATATGCCAAGGAGCTGGACCAGGGAAGTCTGTGCACTTCCTTTGTGGGGACCCTGCAGTACCTGGTAAGAGACGGGGTTTCCATGTTTGTGTGTCAGTTTCTGTCCGATGGCTGTGTCTGTGGGGCTCTTCCTCCATCCTTGCCTTCTGCCATCTAAGTTTGCCGGCTCTTGGATGTTTCCTGGGTGCCTAGGAACTGTTGTATGAGGTCAGACTCATAATCCATTCAAGTCAGCACGTTTTGCTAGCAGAGGCCTTATGGAGGGATGTGGTCGTCTTCTCATATCAAAAGGGCTCTGCTCCCGGGCCCTCGCACGAGTCCCATAACCTCTCATGCTGCAGTATTTTCTCTGAGGACAAAGAGTTTAAACCAGGTTCTTGCTGGTCTGTAGGGGCCTCAGTTTCCACGCAGCATCTCAGGGGCCATGGAGGAGAGAGGGCTGAGCTTTGAGCTCCCACCCTTTCTTTTTGTTATTTGGTCTTAATACTGCGGTTCTATTTGAGTCACTCATTCATCCAAGAAATATCGGTCAAGTGTAGTTTTAGAGTTTAGGAGGAAAGCAGGCATCACCCTGATACACAAATAATGAAGAAATTACAATTGTGATAAATACTGCAAAGGGAAAGTTCAGGGTGTTATGAGAATATATTTTAGGAAGACCTAGCCTGGTCTGGGACCTGAAGGATGAGTGGGGGAAAGGGGGACTGGGGGAGGGGGAGAGAGAGGAAGTTCCAGGCAAAGGGATAGGACATGGGAGACCAGAAGGTGTGGCAGGAGCCAGAGAAGAAGGAAGAGGGTATCTCGAGTTGAGGCTGGAGAGGGAGGTAGAGGACAGATTATTCAAAGCCTTGTTGGCTGGGTTAGAGATTTTAAACTTTATCCTGAAACCTCTGGAGAGACGTGGAAGGTTTTTAAGTGTGAGAGGGATTGGGTTTACCTTTTGAAGAGACCATGCTTGGTACAGCGTGGAGGGTGAATTGCAGGTAGTGGGTGAGTGGTAAGGAGGCTGTTGTACTGAGCTGGTCCGAGCTGGTGGAGGGCCTTGAGGATGTAGAGGATGGTTCAAGAAATGCCTGGAAGAGACCCAGCAGAACTTGGTAATAGATTGTTTGCAGATGGTAACCAGTACATGTTGATTAAAGGAGTCTACAATTTAAAAAAGAAAAACAAAAACAGGTTGAAAGCCACTGGGCTCGACGAGCTTAATTATCCTACGTGGTTCTTATACAGAAAGAGAGAAAGCAATTATTGAGGTCCTTTTGAGCGTATCCATACTTCCCACTAACCCCCCAACCAGGCAGTGGACTGCCGGTTTATCACCTGCCCTGGGGAGTAGAGGATTCAAAGCGGGGACTTGGGGCTGTGACTCAGCACGTGTGTCCACAAAACGTGACCCTGTGGGTCCTGCCCGGTGTCCTCTGGACCCCTCGTCAGCTCAGCAGCAGTTAGTGAGGACCCCAGGCTCTGACAAGGATGCTCGGCCAAATTGTTCACTTGCAGACCTAAAACTTCTGTCCATAACCAGACACAGAGGCTGACCTGTGCGTCCCCACGTTTTTCCTCTTGGTTTGGACTCCGTGGTCCTTCATGAGTGTCATGCCTCCAGCCAGCCTGTGCTCAGTCCTGCCTCCACACCTTCGCTTGTCATGGTCCTTTCTGGGCTGTCTGCCCTGAGGCACTCTGATCCGGTCCCGTCCCACCTGTGCTGGGAAGCTTTCCTTGGTTGTCCCAGCCTCTCTGCTTGGGCAGCGGCCATGCATCTGGCCTTTCCTACCTGACTGCAACAATCCATCCCGCTGTCCGACCGCATGCTGTGGACCTCCCCACTTTAGGGGACCAGCTGGCATGCATGGCCGGGATCACTTTCCTTTGTTGTCCGTGCCCTGTCTTCCCCTCCCTGCACAGTGCTGGGAAAAGGATACACGCTGCACTCCGGTTCACCTAAAATACCCCCAGGCCCTTGTTTCAGCACCGGGACTGAATGAGGTCCAGAGAGATGTTAGGAACCACCTGCTGAACACGTGGTCACCTCCTCACCTGGAGCGGGGCCCAGGGAGCATGGGGCACGATAAGAGGCTGGGTGCCCCCCTCTGTGGTAAACCCTCGGATGGGGAGCAGCTCAGGTATGTCCCCACATTGTCACCACAGGCCCCTGAGCTGCTAGAGCAGCAGAAGTACACGGTGACTGTGGACTACTGGAGCTTCGGCACCTTGGCCTTCGAGTGTATCACGGGCTTCCGGCCCTTCCTGCCCAACTGGCAGCCCGTGCAGTGGTGAGTGAGGGCTTGGGGCGGGCCGGCCGCCCAAAGCGGGGAGTGTGCCCCTGTCTTTGTCAGATGTCACCTCACCTGTGCTGTCTCACTGGGCGCCCCAGGCTGGGCCTGAGACACCTGTGACCTCTCACCCAGAGGAAGTCCCGTTAAGACCTGGCACGTGGGCAGTCTGAGCTCCAAAAGCCTGGAAAGATGGAAGGTTGTTAAGTGTCAACCTGGATTCTGAACCTTAACAGCTTTAAATCCAGTACTGTGTAAATGAGTGCGCTGTGCAGGGCGGGAGGTCACTGTGTTTACGGAGTGTGTGTGTAGTGCACTTACACTGAAAACGCTGTGCATTGGTAAACAAACAGCGTGTTCACACGACAAACTGTGAGCTGTATTTACATGAAAATTTATTGTTGACAAATTTTACTGTTTCTAAAAACGTCAAAAAGTGGCTTAAAATGTGAACTGAATACATTTCCAAAAAGAGATTTTCTAATAAAAAAAGTCAAAGGATACAATTAAGTTTTTAAAAATTACTGTATATTTTGAAACTTCTTTTCTGATTATAATACTAACGTGTGGTTCATTGCATACATAAAAGTTAACCATTACTGAAATGCATCATTTAAAAACTAACATCCCCCTAAATCAGTTAGGATTCATTCAAAATGATTCCTTGAGAGACCACACACTAATTGGAATGATGCTACTGTTGTTCAACATTATTTTTTTATCTCCAGTTTTTATTTTTTGGAGCAGTGGTAAGTTCATGTGGTTCAAACTTCAGAGTATAAAAGTGAAAAGTCATGGTTCCTCCCCACAGGCATTTGGTCCTTTTGATCTTGGGTCCACCTCTGAGGATGTCTTGTACGTGTACAAGCAAATGGGCATGTACCTGTTTGTTAACTCATTTATGTATGCCGCCCCATTTTACCTCAGTGACAGTGTAATATGCACACTGCCCTGTACGTGCTCTTCCAGGATTTTTACACTGAGAATTTCCTCCAACTGCTGTGAACATATCTCTTTGTCTCCAGATTCTTCATTGTGCCTGTGTTTATTTAAAAAACAAAGTAGGTTACCCTACATACTCTCACAGAACCTGCCTTTCAAACTTGCTACAGAAAATGCTTTCTGTTTTTCCATGTTCTCTGTCACATCTGTTTGCTGTTCCACTGTAGTTGGTTTAACCTGTTCCCCATTACTGGAAGAATCAGTGGTTTATAATTTTTACTTCTTAAAATAACACCAAGCATAACATCATTGTAGGGAAATCCTTGTATGTCCGCAGTTATTTCCCTGGGATAAATTCCTAGCAATGGGATCAACAGATCAAAGATTATCTGCATTTTAAAGGTCTTCCATGTGCACTAACAAATTGCTCCACAGAAAGTTTGTATAAATAACGTTTCCACCAGGAACGTACGAAGCTGCCCCTTTGTGGGTCCACACTGGCTGTTGTCACGTTTCTCAGTATCTTTCTGGAAGTAGCGAAAACATTGACTTTTTCAAAGGACAGGTACTTACATCATGAGATTGTTTATTTATAAGACTAAGATGTAGCCTTTGAAATCAGTTCCAGAAGAGTAGTTTTGTGTGACGCGGTCCAGTTCAGTCACCGTTCACATGCCAGACACTGGAAGAGATGAACCAGGCATGGTCCCAGCTCCTGAGGAGCCTGGTGACGTGGCAGAGAGTGCCCTCCTGTGGGGACTGACTTTAGAAGAGGCAGCGCTCCTGAGCTGGGTTCTGGAGTGTTGAATTAGCTCATTACATTAGAGTCACACCTTATCATGTAACCATCATGACAAAAACTTTAAATGTCTGTACATCTATAGTGTTTTTAACTAACCAAGGAATTACTGCATTTTTTTCAGTTCAAATGTCGAGCATTTCCATTATTTATAACAAGATGAGTTAAAGTCCATTAGAACTAGAAGAAGAAATGCTATTTGAAGCTATCTCTAATGGCCTGGCATCTTCATAGTAAGTTTTTTGTCTGCAGAGCCAGCCTCCTGTATGGAGCCGGGAGGCTGGGTGACCACTTGCAGGTGGACATCTCTGAAACCTAGTAGCTGTGAGACGTGTCTGTCTTGTCTGCCTTGTAATGCCTCAGGCAGCTTTAGCAATTTCACTCTCATCTCAGATGGCAGGTAGATATTAATTTCAGGACAAATGCAATTTGAGCTTTATTATCCTGTCACTGAGCTACTGTGAAGTACATTTTAGGACCGGCCTAAGCAGTGAGCATTTCACTTACTGTGTCCTTTTCTTTATCTGTATGGTTTCCCGTTGACAGACCGAGTTTCTGTCAGAGGACCATCCCATTGTGTGTAATGACAGCCTGACGTAGAGCAGGCAGGTTCCAGCTGGACCCCATCTCTTCCAGGCTACGTGTGTTCCACATGGTCCGGTTCACCCCTCGCCAGTGAGGCTTCAGGGCTAAAGCATTTTGCATTTGAATTTCTTACGTGTTTTTGAAAAGGAAGGATGTAGACATTTAGACAGAGTAGAAGGAGCACCAGACTTTGGATCTGAGGCCCCGGTGGTGTGACCTTGGGCAGGTCACCTGATCTTCACTTCCTTACCGCTGAATGGGTGGCTGAAAACCGTCTACCACATGAGGTCATCGGGCAGAGAAGGGCATGTTCACAGTCAGTGCTTGGTTATCTGTGAAGCATTATTCAGACTTACGTCATCACCCTTGTCACCGAGAAGATTTGAAACCAGTTTAAAAATTTGCTTCCTTCAAATACTATTTCAGATACATCAGAAGGGTCTCTAAGTTGGGAAGTATAACTGTTCATTCACCATCAGAAGTAACGCTTAGCCACATGCATTAAGAGGGAAGTGTGTGGTGCGTGCAGGTTTCACGTGAACAGGATCCTCATGCAGTGATCTTGGTGTGCACGTCCTAATTTCATCCTCTACCAAAACGTGAGAGTTTTGTGTTTGATGAAAAGTAGAAGAAAGATAAGGATGAGCCAGGGTGAGGCCAGGAATCAGCAGTACAAGCCTGAAGGTCAGTGACACACACTGGGCAGTACTGACGGCCTTAAACTCTCAGAGAAGCATCCTAGCAGGACGCAGACGCACTGGCCGGCATCCCAAGGGGTTGACTAGTGACCTGGGGGCATCCCGTCCAGTTGTCAAGTGGAAGGCTACCGGTGTAGAGGGGCTGTTGGCTGCTGGGTGATGCAAGGTCATCACAAGCAGCGTTACAGACCAGGCCCTGCGTCCGCAGGCACTCCAAAGTCCGGCAGAAGAGTGAGATGGACATTGTGGTTAGTGAGGACCTGAACGGAGCCGTGAAGTTCTCCAGCTCGTTACCCCACCCGAGCAACCTCAACAGGTACGGCCCCAGGCCTTCCCCTCCGCGTCGTGTCCTTCCTGTTTTAGAAATGGATGTCAGAGCCGACGTCCTGGTAGCTCTGACATCGGGACATCCTGCTGTGGCCGGCACCTGGCATAGTCTATCTCAGTGTTAAACTTAGAACGCCTTCCCCCCGACCCCATCTAGAAGTCTTCTCCTTCCCGAATTCACACAGCAACCTGTACCTTTCATCACTCCAAGAAGCTTCTACCTCGCGTGACATTGGGTTTTGCAGAGGGTTTACCTTCTGGTCAGCCGTAAGCCTTTGACCGCCAGGGGATTACGCGTTATTTCTCTTTGCCTGCAGCCTAATCGTGTGTTACTGTCAACAAACAAACCTTTGCGGTTTGAACGGCACTGCCGTCTGGTCTTAGAGCCAGAATATGAGCAGTCAGGTAATCCTATCAGAATTGGGGGCTAGTACAGAGGAAAGCTGCCAGGCGGCCACACACAGCTGAGGAGCACGGAGCACAGTGAGCATGAGTGTTTGGAGGATGGGGAGAGAGGCACCGAGTCGACTAGCTGTGCAGGATGACTGGGTGGGCTGGAACTTTCTGGAAGAATCTGGAAAGACGTGCAGGACAGGCATGGGGAAAGACGGGGGGTGGGGGTGGGCCCAGGAGAGGCAGCTCGTAGCGGTGCTGGCCTCTGCAGGGCTTTCTTGGCGTGGCGAGGGCCTCTGAGGGTGCCGGCAGGGCCCCGCCGGGCCAGGAGAAGTGAGAACTTTGTCATGTGGACCCCCTGAAGGGTCCCCGGGGTGACCGACAAAGCGAATCGGCAGCGAGGGGTCTGGATTGTGTGGGCGGTTCTCCTGAGGTGGGGCGGGCCTAGGAAGCACATAGGAAGCTTCCTGAGGTTCTCGCACAGCCATCTGCCAAGACGCCCTGATGTGAGGGTGTTGGCGCGGATCCGGGAGGGGTGAGCGCCTGAGTGAGTCGTTTTGTTGGAAAGGCTCGTCTTTCCTCAGGTTAGTTCATCCTCAGGGATCACTTTGGCCCCGTCCGCGTGATGGTCACGTGCGTGTGAGGTGTGAGCGCCTTTCAGTTCCCACGCGGGGCCCTGAGGCTGGCTCTGGACCCATACGCGCGCGCACGCACGCGCACACACACGCACGCGGCCCCCTCTCCTCAGCGTCCTGGCCCAGCGGCTGGAGAAGTGGCTGCAGGTGATGCTGATGTGGCAGCCCCGACAGAGGGGCACCGACCCCGTCTACGGGCCCAATGGCTGCTTCAAGGCCCTGGACGACATCTTAAACTTGAAGGTGAGCCTACGCCAAGTTAGCCCAAGGCTGCGAGCCATCGGCTGCCCGACCAGTGGGCAAACGCAGGCTCCCACGAGGGCATCTCCACATGAGAGGATGATGGGACCCCCTGCTGACCGTTGTGGGTCGCGAGGTCGTAGCTGTGGACAGACAGGAGTGGGAAGACTCCTGTGTGTGGCCCAGCGCTGGCCTTCCTCCCCAGGCCGGGCCTCTGGGAGGCTGGGAGGTGTGGGGAGTAGCAGAGGATCCGGGCCAGCAAGCGGGAGTGTCAGGTGGTTTGTCCTGGGTTGCGTTGCAGCTGGTTCACGTCTTGAACATGGTCACGGGCACCATTCACACCTACCCCGTGGCAGAGGACGAGAGTCTGCCTAGCTTGCAGGCCCGGATCCAGCAGGACACAGGCATCCCTGAGGAGGACCAGGAGCTGCTGCAGGAAGCGGGTCTGGCCTTGACCCCCGACAAGCCCGCCGCTCAGTGCGCCTCCGACGGCAAGGTGAGACCGGCCTCCTGCAGGCGCCCCAGCCCCACCCGACCCCGGAGAGCTGATCGCCCATCCCGTCCCACTCCGTCGTGCCAGGCAGTCTGTTACCACGCAGGGCAGGCGCCTGCCTGTTTTGAGGTTGGAATGCGAGATCCCGTGAACCTGATAGGAGACCTGAGTCACCCCACGCTTCGCCTGTTCCTTCCAGACCACTGGGAGTGCCTTTCTTTTGCCTTTGCTGCCAAAGTGATGCTTCATTTTTCCAAGTCAACCAAAACCATTTTTGACACACCTCGTGTGCAGAACCGTGCTGACAGCTGCACAGAAAGAGCTGGAAAGTTAACGCAGGAGAGACAGTCACTAGACAGTAAAGCAAACCATCTAAGTTGCACGATAAAGACAAGCAGAGAATAAAACAGAACAGAATAAGTTGTAGATGAGGTTTGCATTTGGGAATAAGTGTAAAAGGAACAGCCAAGGGAAGTAGAGGCCGCGGCCCCTAGGAAAGGCTCAGTGGGCGCCCGGCACCTGCTCTCTGAGGACGGTGCTGTTGGGACCCTCTGAAGACTCCCCCCTTGTTGCTTGAGAAAAGGAGGGGCTGGGTCCACGAGGCCTCATTTTGCTCTTGTCCCTTTGCAGCTGAACGAGGGCCGCACCCTGGACATGGATCTCGTTTTCCTCTTTGACAACAATAGGGTCGCCTATGAGACCCAGATCTCCCCACGGCCCCAGCCTGAAAGCGTCAGCTGTATCCGTAAGAACAGCGTGATCTCTTTAAAAGATAATTACTTACAGTGCTTGGGACGAGGCTGGAGGGAGAGCCCTGGACTGAGGGAGGGGTCGCCCCTGAGAAGATGAGTCCCTCCGGCCCTCAGTCAGGCAGGCTTCCTCACTTGCACCCGTGAGGAGTAGCCCAGGTGAAGAGAGGAAAGGACATCCATCTTCAATTAATGTCAATCTCATTTAAACAGAGGACAGACAGGCCACTGAAATTCAGCCACGTGACCATTGTCTTGATGTTTGAAGTCGTCTTCATATTTTAATAATCGATACGTGCACACGATACCATAAAATCAAAAAGACTGTACGGTAGGCAGTAAGCGCCTCCGTCTCCCCAGCTCCCCAGGGAAACCACTGCTGCCTGACTCCTTGGGTCTGCCTTCCGGGGTGTTCTGTACATCTGTAACCTTTGACGTGCCTGTGCTCTACCAGGGCACAAAAATGTCTGCGACGGCAACCAGGCCCGGCACCCAGCATGGTTGTGTAGCAGCAGAGCATTACATAACGGCGCAGTGTAGATGTGCCTGTGAGCTCCGCGGGCAGGAGGCGGTCCGTCGCAGGCGCCGCTCCCTGACGGTCGTGTGTGTCTCTGGCCAGTGCAAGAGCCCAAGAGGAGCCTCCCGTTCTTCCAGCTGAGGAAGGTGTGGGGTCAGGTCTGGCACAGCATCCAGGCCCTGAAGGAGGACTGCGGCCGCCTGCAGCAGGGCCAGCGCGCCGCCATGTACGTGCCCGGTGGTTCGCCTTCACTTGCTCAGAGCTGCCCGGTGGCCCGGCCGCAGGACGGTGGCAGAGGCGAGGGCCCAGGGGTGGCCGTTGGGAGAGCGAGCAGGGGAACGCTGGTCTGGAAGGGTGGGACGGAGGGAGGCTCCGTCAGACCCGACCAGGCCAGTGTGGTCAGTGGGCGGTGCTGGGGCCGCGGAAGGGCTTGCTGCGGCGTGGGTCGGCCACCCTCCCCTGACCGTCCTGCCAGGCCAGGCTGACTCTTTCCCCGGGTTGTGGCTGATTTGGGTCACTTCGTGTGGTACTTGGCCTAACTCCAGTTTGGGAGCAGAACCTCACCCATTGCCGAGGGCCAGGAGATTGTCGTTACGGTTATAGGTGGCTGCTCTTGTTGCGGTTATACCAGTTACAGCAGGGGCCTGCCGTCGTGTTTGAGCTGGGTTTGCTCTTGTCCGGGAACTGGCACTTGGAGGCCAGAGACACCCCACGGTTCTGTTTCTCGGGGTCCCTGCAGGATGAATCTGCTCCGGAACAACAGCTGCCTGTCCAAGATGAAGAATTCCATGGCCTCTATGTCTCAGCAGCTCAAAGCCAAGCTGGATTTCTTTAAAACCAGCATCCAGATTGACCTGGAGAAGTACAGTGAGCAGAAAGAGTTTGGGATCAGTGAGTGTACTGTTTGTGATGGGTCTCGAGAGACCGTTCCTTTCTTCTTTCCGAGGTGTCTTTTGTCCCCTTGCCATTGAATCGCTTGTTTTCTGTTTGGGTTTGGGGATGTTTTCGTTTTGCTTTAAATTTATTTTCCTTCCATTTTTTTTCAGCGTCAGACAAGCTGCTGCTGGCCTGGAGGGAGATGGAGCAGGCCGTGGAGCTCTGTGGACGGGTAGGAGGCACCCTGGGGTCCCCAGGCCGGCCAAGGGCGCGAGCCTCTTCACTGCTCTCCTCCCCTTTCTCACTGCGTGCTCGGTCGAGCTTGTATGTCGAAAATGAGATTTTCCTCTCCCAGCTCTCTGCGCTCAGCTAGGACTTGCTGGAAAGAGGGGGAGAGGCAGGGGTTGGGGGACAGTGCAGGGGGCCCTGCCGTGGCAGGTCCGGGAGCTGCACAAATTGGAGTCAGGATTACGACGTGAATTGTCCTCTTTCCACGAGAAGGGGCCTTGGATGAAGGAGCAGCACGCTGTCTCGTCGGAGGTTGTCCTAACCTCCTTGGGACAAGAAATCCCCAGGAAAGAACGGGTCTAAGGGGCAAGTCTTAGGACAGTGTAAATCAGATGCCACTGAAAAGTGTTGATTATGAGGCCAGCGTGTGACGTGGCAGACCTCATACAAATGGAAGACTGTGGTCTCCAAGGCTTTTTCCTGGACTTTGTCACCATTTTCCCTGTGAACTTGGGCAGGGAGTTTCACCTCCGTGTCTTAACATCTGTTTCTATAAATCAGTACCGATATGCCTCCTTAAAGGTGGGTGTCCATCGGCAGTACCTTGTTCAACCACAGGGCCACGAGCGCACCCCCAGTCTTGGCACTCGTGGGTGTAATCCCTGAGATAATCGATGAATTTGGAGAAGAGAATGTGCCCTGGCCACTTCTCCACGCCAGGACCGGGCCAGGCCCCGACCTGCTCTGTCTCCTCTCACCCTAACGCAATCCTTTGAGAGCCTAGTTTACGGTGGAGGAAACTGCAGCGCAAGGTCAGGTAACCTGCCCGAGGGCCACACAGCTGACAGGTGGCCGACCCCAGATCCGACTGCAGGGCTCCAAGTCCGGGTCCCTTCCGGCTGGTCAGCTGAGGGTCTGCGGTGAGGCCGGAGGGCTCCCCTGAGAACCCCGTGTCTCAGGAGTTTCTCGCTGCGTCCTTGGCCTCAGCACTGCTCTTCCTTCAGGAGAACGAGGTGAAGCAGCTGGTGGAGCGGATGATGGCGCTACAGACGGACATCGTGGACCTGCAGCGCAGCCCCCTGGGCTGGAAGCAGGGCGGGACGCTGGACGACCTGTGAGTGTGTGTGCGCGCGCGCGCGTGCGTGTGTATATGTATGTGTGTGTGTGTGGTGTGAGAGTGAGCCTGTATGGGAATGTGTCTGCGTGTGAGTGTGTCTCTCTTTGTGTGTGTGGGTATGAGTGTGTGTGTCGGGATGGTTCGAGTGCGGTCCCGGTGGAGCCCCGTGGGCCCGTTCCCCCTGGAGCTCGGCCCCTGGGGGGTCATCTCGGCACATGCAGAGATGAGCACGGGCACACCTCCGTCACTCTGAGCCTCACAGGATAGAGAAGCGATGTCTGACCTCACAGTTATGGGGACCAGTTCAGATAACCGTGGTGTCTTGTGAACTACGGAGGCTGCCGTCCCAGGAGCCTTTGCTTGACCAAAGTATCATATTAGATGCCAGGGCCGCCCAGCCCACCCTCACTCGCTGTGGCCCGAGGAGCAGAAAGTAGAACAGGGGAGGAGCCTGGCAAGTCTTAGAAGGTGGGATCTGGAAACTTCATTTGAGTCTTGATCAGGAACTTGGCCTTGGCTCCGGGAGAGGGGGAGGGCGGTGCAGGGGGGTACCTAGGCAGAGCAGCCCCACCTGCAGCCCTGGGAGCAGACAGGAGGGGCAGGTGAGCCTCGGGGCCCCTCAGGAGCTACCTCCTTGGGGCTCAGCCGTGTCCTCTGACACTTCTACCAGGATTCTTAGGACCAGGCGCCGAACATCAGAAATTTAGTTATTTGTAGTCCATATTTTCTCAAGTCATTTAACCCTTTATTCTCCTCTGGTTTTCAAACAAAAGTCACCCCTGAGAATGTCACCCCGTCTCACTGTGTTAGGGGCATGGGGAGGGCGTCTGTGCCTGCTCCTGGGCTTGAGTTTTCGGGGGCCGCGTTCTCCGGGCTCAGGTCCAGCAACAGACTGCACCCAGAGTCCTGATGGCAGGAGCCGGGCGGGCAGGGAATTCAGAGGAGACTCCTGTCCTGAAGATTCTCACTAGACCTTGGAGGTGTTTGAGTTTTGATAATGAGGCGAGCCTTCCCTTGTCATGGGTTTCACCTGTAACATCACCAGGAACGATCATTTGCTCCAGTCGGGATGTGCTGCCCGCCTGGCTTCTAGAAATCAGTAGTCCTGCCGGCAGGAGTTGGCCCCGGCGCTTCAGGTGAGCTTGTTGACCTCTGCTCGATGCTGACCAAAGCTGCTGTCTCGTGTGTTTCAGAGAAGAGCAGGCGCGGGAGCTTTACCGGAGGCTGAGGGAGAAGCCCCGAGGTGAGTGGGCCACCTCCCGGGTCCCTCGCTACCTGGGCACCAGGCCAGCCCCCCGCGGACCGTGCGACCCCGTCCCTCTTTGCAGACCAGCGAACTGATGGCGACAGTCAGGAAATGGTGCGGCTGCTCCTGCAGGCAATCCAAGGTTTTGAGAAGAAAGTGCGAGTGATCTATACGCAGCTCAGGTATCAGGCTGCCTTCCCTCCGGCGGGGTGGAGTGAGGAGGGGCGGCGGGCTGTGTGCGATGCCTCGCCCACTCACCTGAGCCCCGCGGGACCTCCACCTGCAGCGGCCGAGCGGAGCCTTAACTGCCGGGGCTGCGTCCTGCTTCCTCCGACCCACATGCCACTGGAGCTTGTCATGTTTGTTCTTCACAGTAAGACTGTGGTCTGCAAGCAGAAGGCTCTGGAGCTGCTGCCCAAGGTGGAGGAGGTGGTGAGCTTAATGAGCGAGGACGAGAAGACTGTGGTTCGGCTGCAGGAGAAGCGGCAGAAGGAGCTCTGGAACCTCCTGAAGATTGCTTGTGTGAGTGACCCTCGGCGGGGCCCTGTGCTGCCGTCCCCAGCCCACGCACCACAGGGCCACCCCCAGCGCTCCGCTGCTGCCGCTCCCTTTCCACTTCTCTGCTCCGTGACTTGGTGTGAGTGCGGAGGGCCGGGGTGGGCGCCTGTGTCCTTGTGTTATTGTGCGGGTGGCGGCTGTGATAAATTATCACAGTTATTCTCACGGTCCTGGAGGCCAGAAGGCCGCCATCCAGGTGTCGCGGGGCCAGGCTCCCTCTGGAGGCTGGAGGGGAGAATCACTCCTCCTTCCTCACCTCTTCTTCGATTTCCGTGGCTCCTGGTGCTCCTTGGCTTGTGGCAGCATCCCTCCAGTCTCTGCCTCTGTCTCCACGTGACCCTCTTCTCTGTGTCTCTTTTCTGAGTATCTCTTGTAAAAACACTTGTCGCTGGATTCAGGTCCCACCCAGATAGTCCAGGGTGATCTCATCACAGGCTCCTTAGCTGCACCTGCAAAGATCCTTTTTCCAGACGAGGTCACACGCCCAGGTTCTTGGAGATCTGCATGCAGCCCCAGCAGCACGTGCCCGTGTGGCCTGGTGGGTCCTGAGCTGTGCCTGTGCCGTGCAGCACTCAGCCCACACTTTCTGTGCCCGCCGTCTCAGCGTAGCTGTGATCCCACTGAGTGTTGCTCAGAGAGAACCCTCAGCACAAAAGAGAGCCCAGGACAGAGAAGGGAGAAGAGCCGGGTAAAAGCTGTGTCTTGGAAGCGAGCTGGTGGGACAGACCGTGCTGCCGTGTGGGCTGCAGGGAAGTTGAGGAGGTGACAGCAGAGCGACTTGGTCACGGATCAGGGGAGCACGGCTGCATAAGGTGGAGTGGCCACTGCAGCCTGGGGCGTCAGAACACCTTAGTCTCCTTCTGTCCCGCGGATGGTGCGAGTCACAGAAAGTCACTTAGGACCTTTGTGTGTCTGTCTTCTACTTGGAAAGAGTAAACACACCTTCCTTCTAATTTCCTTGTAGGAGTTCGTTAAGCGACCCAACTAATGAAATAGAGCCCTCAGATCTCTCTGTAGTTAGAATCTGGTTTTTTTAATAGATTTATTTATTTTTGGCTGCGTTGGATCTTCGTTGCTGCACGCAGGCTTTCTCTAGTTGCAGCAAGCAGGGGCTACTCTTTGTTGCGGTGCACAGGCTCTAGGCGCACAGGCTTCAGTAGTTGTGGCACGTGGGCTCAGTAGTTGTGGCTTGCGGGCTCTAGAGTGCAGGCTCAGTAGTTGTGGCGCACAGGCTTAGTTGCCCTGTGGCATGTGGGATCTTCCCGGACCAGGGATCAAACCCGTGTCCCCTGCATTGGCAGACGGATTCTTAACCACTGCGCCACCAGGGAAGCCCCTAGAAACTTTTACCAAAAAGCACACCTATAGATACAGAAACAGTTTCTAAACTGAAATGCAAACCATCAAATAACGATGTTGACCTATTTCTCCAGGAAGAGCCTGTGTCTCGTGACCAGTTGTCTCATGAGAAAATACCCTGGTGTGGTGCCTGGGACTTCCCTGGCAGTCCAGTGGTTAAAGACTTCACCTTCCAATGCAGGGGGTGCATGTTCGATCCCTGGTCAGGGAGCTAAAATCCCACGTGCCTCTCAGCCAAAAAACTAAAACATAAAAAACAGAAACAAGATTGTAACAAATTCAATATAGACTTTAGAAAGGGTCCACATAGAAAAAAAAAAAACTTGAAAAAAAGAAAATACCCTGGTGTGAATGCAAAATTTGAAACATCTGTTTGCTCCAAAACTGCTGACTCTCTTCCTGGTTTTGTCATCTAGAGCAAGGTCCGCGGTCCCGTCAGCGGAAGCCCAGACAGCATGAACACGTCCCGCCTGAGTCACCCCAGCCAGCTGCTGTCGCAGCCTTGCCCAGCCCCTGACAGCTTACCCGAGGCCGTCAAGAAGAGGTGCGTCCCCGTTCGCCATGCCCAGTGCAGGAGTCAGGGACGTGTCGGTCACCCGTCGGCGGTTCTGTGCGTGTTCCTCCATGTTTGTTCCCTTTGCCGGGCGCTGTGGGGACAGATGGGGTGTTTTGCTCTCAGAGCTCCTCCTGGCTTGCTGACTAAGGTTTCCTCGTCTGAGGTCGCGTTGCTCGTTGCTGGATGGGAACCTGGAAGTGCCGGCCAGTCCCTGCTGTCCTCTAGTCCACCCGTCGCGGTCTGCTCGTAGAACCAGGTCCCTGTGGGCGTGCCCTGGCCTCCACGCCTGAGTCGCGTGTCATTGGTCCTTCCCGTGGCCTCTCCCTGCCCCACTCATCACCTGCACCCCTGCCGCAGAGCTGGGAGCAGAGCCCCAGAGCCCTTCCAGCGAACTTTTCCCTCCCTGCTTCCCCCCCTAGTGCTGCCTCCAGGCCCCTCTGGTCAAATCAGCCTTCACAGGAGACCATTTTGATCGTTATTCCTCAAGTTATTTAGGGACCAGCCATGGCTTCCTGCTGCCTCGGGGTCCAAGCCTGAGCCTTCTCAGGCCTTCAAGCCACCTCCGCATTCTGACCCACTGCTCCGGGGCAGATTCCTGGCTCTGCCGTCAGGGGTCTTAAAGTCTGGTCCAGACCAGCAGCATTGGCGGGTTCTGGGTACTTGCCAGAAATGCAGATTTGGGATCAGGAACTCGGGGTGGGGTGGAGCAGTCCTGTTTAACCAGCCCTGGCTGACCCTCCTGCAACCTGAAGTTCCAGAACCTCGGCTCCGCTGACGCCTTTCCCCGGAGCCATCCTACCTCTGCTCCCACCTCCTCCACGGCCCTGGCACACGAGCACAGGGATCCTTCTCCTCCTGGACCACCTGTGGGGTTTTTTTTGTTTCTGGTTCAGTCTCACATTTATTCAGCACCTTCCCTTTGCTGGGCCCCAGGCACTGGAGACAGTTAAAATCGGTTCCTGTGGGCAGATCTATAGAATGGAAAATACATTAATGATTGCTGAGGGCAGGGGGCGGGGCAGGAATGGGGAGTGACTGACGACAGGTACAAGGTTTCTTTTTGGGTGATGAAAACATTCCAAACTGGATTACCAGGATGGTTGCACAACTCCGTAAATGTACTCGAACTATGGAATTGTGCACCTTAAATGGGTGAACTTTACGGTTTGTAAATTTATCTCAATACAGCTGTTTTTAAAAATCCTGTTCCTGTACTTAGGGGGTTTGTAGCCTCTACTGTTTGGGATTTTTTATTTTTAATTTTTTTAAATTTTTTATTTTTTTTTTGCCGTTTGGCTGGCGGGGTCTTAGTTCCCTGACCAGGGATTGAACCCGGGTCCTCAGCAGTGAAAGCGCAGAGTCCTAACCACTGGACTGTCAGGGAAGTCCCTGTTTTGGATTCTTAATTCTCTCCCCAACTTACTGTTAGCTCCTTGAGGATGGTAACCAGGTCCTGCGCCTCTCACGGGGCCTCTGGGGCCGGCCTGGAGCCTGGAGCCTGGTTAGTAGTCCATGGATGAGTCTGGGCAGCGCTGTGCTCTGTTCCTTCCATCAGTGCCCCCTTCACAGTGAGAGGAGGGGATCGAGGGTCCTTCCTCCTGGATTTGTCACTCTTTTTCCATGATATTCTCAAAGCTCTGGAGAAGTCGTCCCGGGGGCACAGGCTGCTGTCTGTGTCTCCACGCCCTTGAGCCAAGGTTAGAAAGGACAGATGGCTCGCTCTGCTCTCCTCTTTCTTACCGTGGCGGGTTCTCAGGGGTACACGTGCATTTCTCATCAGAGAGAAGGAGAGAGCACAGTAAACAAATCAGTTCCCAGAACTTGCTTCGCCCAGATCTCAGCGAGCTGGGGACATCTGGGGAAATTGCATGGTGTGTATATTTTTGTCCATTTCAAAAAGTGGAAAACAGGTGGTTTGGGAGAGATCTTCAGATTATGGCAGTTTGGAGAGAATCTAGTTAAGTCAGAAAGAGCTTTGTTATTAAGCCGGGTCGCTGCTTTTTCACATGGTGAACAGTGATGCTCGTAGCTGGATTCGAGCTTCTGTAACAGCACTTAACTAGACAGATGAAATCACTTAGGCAATAACATGGTGTTTTAAGACACTCAGCCTCAGAATAATTATTTAATTTTTAAAATCTTTCCAGAAGCTCTTTAGCGTATTTGTAAACACCTTTGAAAAGTTAACATTGACCACGTTCTAATAATTCAATCTTTTTTTTAGCGAAGACCTCGTGGCTGAAGCACACACTCTGTGTACGCAGCTGGAAAACGCCCTACAGGACACCATGAAGGACCAGGACCAGAGCTTAAGGGTAATGGCCCGTGGGAAGCCCCGCCGCCCCACGCCCTTTCTTTCTACAGCAAACGAGAAAAAGCAGATGGAAAGGCGATGCCGTGCTTCCTCGATCGCAGTGTACACTTAGGATTTTCTAGTACATACTTCTTATTCACCGTGATAACAATGCTGATGCCTGTTGAACGTGTGCAGGTGCTTTGTGCGCATTATCTCATTTCATCCTTGCTACACTCGCTGCTTACGAAGAAGGTAGCATCACTGTGAGAAGGCCTCTCCCCTGCTGCACCTTCTGTACAATTGCCGGGCATGTGTGTGTGGGGTGCAGTGCTGGGCTCCGGGAACAAAGCAAGAGCCCGTCACCACCCCGCCTCTCAGGGACTCGGGGCTTAGCAGTCCTAGTTATAGGGAAGCTGACCTAAAGGAAAACGAGTCCAGATGCAGGTACGTTGAGACAAAGCTGAAATTGCGGAGAGGGTGCTGAATCATCCGCGTGGCTCTCTGGCCTTTTCCTGCCGAGACAGTCACATGCTGGCGTCTCCGCAACTTCTGATTTGGGGGAAGAATCGGAGGGGATACTGCTCACTGTAACCACTTCTTATTTATTCAAGTGTCCTTCTCTGGTTTGCTGCTGTCTGTGTCTCTTCTTGCTGTTCTTCCTCCTCCGAGCCGTGTATACTTGGATCCTTTCACTGCCCGTTTGCACTTCTGCCAGGAGAAAAGGAAGTGTGACCAGGCCATTTCACCTGGTGAGGTTGGAGGTCGAGAGCTGAGATTAGCCCAGGGTACCAGCTGCCCGCAGTGAGCGTGAGTCAGTGCTGTGAGCTGCAGTAATGATACTTAAATCACCTTCCCGGAATCTCAGGGCTCCAAGCCCATCTGAAGAAAAGCTCCGGCATGGTTTTGCAGACGTAGCTCTACCTCAGGGGTACCCTGCAGAAACAAGACTGTCTTAACGAGAGGAATTAAATTTCCCTCTAAACTGTGCTGGTTGCCTGCCGAAGAAGGCAGATGTCTAGGTGGCCACGGTGTCTTTAACGTGCCCGTTGACTTTTAGTCTCTAGACTGGAGCTGGTTGCAGTCGGGGGAGGAGGAGAAGCACAGCCTGGAGCGGGCCTCCTGACGGTGGGCGGCCCTGACCCTGCCGGGCTGCCTGGCCCGAGGCCCCCGGGGCCCCGCCACGTCGCGTCTGGTGTCCTCGGCACCCAGATGGAGATCTCGCTTCCCCAGCAGCCATGACCATCACCGTGGACTGAGGGTGCAGCCCTCCGTGGCAGTGCCAGCAGCTTATCTGCACGCTGGACGTCCTCCGCCACGGAGACCCAGCAGACGAGGATGCCGAGCACGGCGTCTGGGGAGGTGGAGCCACGGCAGCCACTGCCTCTGCGCAGAGAGAAGTGCTCCGAGTACAGTGGCTCCACAGACCACTGGCCACACGTCAAACTGACTTTTAGGACGAAGTATGAATGGCACTTGGTGCTAGCTGTCCTCTCCTGACCCCTCCTGATCTCCAGAGGCCTCATCCACCTATCTTCACAGCTAAGGTTTCATCTGGATCCGGCTTCTCTTGAAACCATGGATTCGGCCCAGCCCGGTCCTCCCTCCTCTTCTGACTTCACGGCTGCTAATGTTTTCCTTCTGCCTACGACCTTGGGCCAGGTTGGGTGAGTGCTGCTTTCCCCGTCCAAAGTCTCTCCAGCCAGAGTGAGTCGCTGGTGCCAGGAGGGGAGAGCGTCTCCCTTCCTGTGGACCCCAAAGAGTCCCCGGGAGCAAGCTGCCATGGAGAAGAAGGAAAGAAGAGGAAGATGTCTGTCAACCACCAGCTTGCTGACCCCTGTGCCCATACCCCCTGCCCCTGGGTGCGGCAGGGTTGACGGGGCAGTTCCCATCCCTCGTGTCATCCAGCGGTATTATTAAGTGGATTTATATTTAAAAAACAGATTCTCTATTTTGTAACATGATTCAAGTCCCACAGTCTATTTTTATAATACCTCTGGTTGGGACTTCTGAACTCAAAGTCCAGCTTTAATGGAAAGTTTTATGAAATTGAGTGGTGCCTGATCAAACAGTGCCAGAGCACCAGCAAGGCCTCTTGGACGTTTCACAAAAGCTGCTCCTTCCTATAACAGCAGGAAAGCAAAGTGAGTTCAGATGATAACAAACAGGCAAGTCTGGTTGGAGAAGAAAGTGGGACGAGAAGAGTTTCACAGAGTGCCTTCCATGGAGGCGGTACAGTGGGTTCCGTGTCAGGGAAGTTGGGGAAACGCTTCATGCTTTAACTGCCTCTTGGAGATTCACCTTGTGCACTGGTTTATTAAAGAATCTGAAAGATCTGTAATAATAAACTGGCTTAAATCTACCTAAATCCACTGTTTACCCAACTCATTTGACAGTAGAGCCTTTTTTTTTCTCCCGTGTGCATGTAACATTGATTAACGTCCCAAAGAACTGAGTTTGATAAAGCGTGATTTTGGAAACACTGGTGAGGAACACAGTGGGACATTATACCAGAAAGGTAGGCTGGGATGGGGTCAGATTAGGGAGGGAATGAATGTGGAGTTGAGAGTCAGGGGCTGATTTTATAGGCAGTTGGGAGCCACTGAAGAATTTTGAGCAAGGAAGGACATTACCAAAGCTAATGTTTAAAACGAGTGATGTAACTGGAATATGCTAGTTGGTTGAAAAAGTGAAAATTCTGGAGGTAGGACTTCCACTTCCAAAACGTGGAGCAGATGTACTTTTTTCCTATTCCTCCTGCTAGTACAGCTGAGATCCTTGGATGTTATTTATAAACAAAGATAAGAAGACCCCAAAAGGCAGTGAGTAGGAGGCAGACCAGCTAGGGACCTTGGCCCTGAGCGGTCATGTGGTGGTGAGTTCCCTGGGTTTTTCTCTTGCCTCCTGTGTCCCTGACGGAGGCTGGAGATGCCGACCAATGGCACAAACAAAGAAGCTGCTCTCCAACTCTGTTAGATTCCTAGGTCTGCTGTAACAAATCACCACAAACTATATGGCTTAAAACAGACATTTATTCTCACAGGTCTGGAGGCCGAAGTCTGAGATCAAGTCCTCCAAAGTCCCTAGGGGAGATTCTGTTTTTTGCTTCTTCCAGCTTCTGGTGGGTCCAGGAGATCCTTGACTTGGTGGCTGCATCTCTGCCCCTGTGGTCGCGTTGCTACCTCTTTTTCTATGTCAAATCTCCCCTGTGTACCTTTCATAAAAAACCCTCGTGATTGAATTTAGGGCTGATCTGGATAATCCAAGATAAGTGCCTAAGAGGCACATAATTTGATCAAGACCCTTAATTTGATCTCATGTTTTACAATATAAGGCGATATTTATAGATTCTGGGGATTAGGATGTGGACATTTCTTCCTGGGGAGCCACCATTGAACCCACTACAGTCCACCATCTAGCCCCCCAGAATTCACATTCGTCACATGCAAAATATATTCACCCCATCCCGAAAAGTCTCAAAACCCACTACAGAATCAACACTAAGACCAAAATCTAAATATCGTCAGCTCAGAAGCCTTGAATCTCATCTACATCAGGTGTGGCAGGCCCTGGGCATGATCCATCCTGTGACAAAATCCCTCCATCTGTGGGCCTGTGAAGCTAGAAAACCATTTGTCTGCTTCCAAAATACAATGGCGAGATAGACATTCCCATTCCAAAGGGGAGAAATTGGAAGGAATAAAGGAGTCACTAGCCTGAAGCAAGTTTGAAATCTACCAGGGTAAATTCCATTAGGTTCCAAGTCCTGAGAATGATTTTCTTTCACTTGAGGCTCTGTCCACTGAACCCAAGGCAGCTTCATAGGCCTCTCTCCCTCTGCACCCACTGCCTCTGTAACTGCTCTTCCAGTCTCTTCCTTTGCACCCATGGCTCTGCCCTCAGAGTCATCCCTCCTTTGTTTTGACAGCTACCACATGTTTACAACCAGGTAACTCTGTTAACCATTTCCTGGCTCTTGAGTTTTAGAAGTCCAATAGACTTATGCCATCCTCTCTCTGTTCTTTTCAGACCAAGCTTGTTTCTGCTGATACAACATTCTTAATAATCTTGTGGGTCTCCTGTGTATGTCATGGGAGTCCACACAGTTAACAAAAGATCCACAGGTCTTTCTTGGATAACTCCACTTCTATTCCTGGCTTCTGCTGAGATGAGTGAGTGGGTCTGTGAGTCACACAAATAATCTCTTCAGCAAAAGGATGTCCAGCTGCACCCTTGGACTTCTCTCCAACAGTGAGTTTTTTAATTTTAGCATCCTTTGCAATATGGATAGATGGAGAATCTCCTAAATCATCAAATGCTGCTGCTTTTCTTCTTAACAGTTCTTTCTTCAATTTATTTCTTTTGTCTTGCATTTTACTGTAAGCAGCAAGGAGAAATCACACCGCACCTTCAACACTTTGCTTGGAAATCTCTGCGATAAAATACTCAAGTTCATTGCTTACAAGTTCCGCTGTCCACATAATGGTAGAACACAATGGCAGAGCCAAGTAACATTCACATCTACCGACATTCTGTTCATGACGATGTATGTATCCTCTGAGACATTAGAAACTTTTTCTACCATGCTTCTCACTTTCTGAGCCCTCATCATCAATTTCTTTAACACTCATTTATACCAATCGTCTGTTTAAGGCAACCTAGGCTTTTCCTCTCATGCATCTCAGAATTCTTCTAGCATCTAACCATTATATAATTTGAAAGCCATTTCCACAGTTTGAGTTTTTTAACAGTAGCACCTCACTTTACAGTACCAAACTATAACAAGTTGCCACAAACTGGGTGGCTTAAAACAACAGATACGTGTTCTCTCACAGTTCTGGAGGCCAGAACTCTGAAATCAGGTTGCTGGCAGGACTGTGCTCCCTCCAGAAGTTGTAGGGGAGATACGTTCCTTTCCTTTTCCAGCTTCTGGTGGCTCCAGGTGGTCCTTGGCTTGTGGCTACATCTATTCAGTTTCTGCCAATGTGATCATATTGCCTTCTCTTCTATCTGTCAAATCTCCCCTGTGCATCTCTTACAAGGACACTTGTCATTAGACTTAGAGCCAATCCAGATAACCTAGGGTGAGTTCCTCTCAAAGTCCTTAACTGAATCACATATTTTGCCGTATAAGGTAATGTTCACAGGTTCTGGGAACTAGGACATGGGCATGCCTTTGTGGGTGTGCACCCAACTCACTACATCAGGTGAAGGGTCAGGACGAGGCAGCCACACAAAACAGGAGAAATGTAAGTGATAACCACTGTATGGCAGCCAAACATCACAAAACATACTGCCCCACCCCTGCTTGCAAAGACCAAGGGGGAAACTTAAACTTCCACACACATCAGGCCATAATTAAGTGCCCCACTGGAGTGATGGGGTGAGGAACTGGGACTTTCATTGATGCTGGACAGTAACAAGGCCTCTCCTGCTGGTATCAGGGGAGACCACGTGGGGAATGCCCAGCAGGAATGAGGCGTTCCTGCCCCCAGGAGACAGCAGACCTACTGGGGAGCCTGGACTCCTATTGCCACCCAACAGTGAGGAGGAGCTCTTCCCACTCGGGAAGCCTGGGCTTCCACTCCCACTTGGTGGTGATGAGATAGCACCCTGCTTCCCCCACTGGATATCAGAGGAGGCCTGCTAAGACAGGAATTAAATGAAAGCCAGAGTCTCATAACCTGAGACTCAGATGTCCAGGTCTTATTCCAAAATCACTCGTCATACCAAGAGTTAGGAAACCTCAACTGAGAAAAGGTAACCCAACAGACACAGACACCCAAGTGGCAGAGATTTAGAAGTATCTGAAAAGGATTTCAAAGCAGCCATCATTTAAACATGCTTCAAACAATAATTATGAACTAGCTTGAAACAAACAAACAAAAATAGAAAGCCTCAGCAAAGAAACAGAAGATGTAAAGAAGAACCAAGTAGAAATTTTAGGACTGAAAAATACATGAAGTAAAATAAATGAAGTAAAAATATCAATGGATAGGCTCAGCAGCAGAATGGAGGGGAACAAATCAGTGAACTTGAAAACAGAACGATAGAAAGAAAGAAAACATTGGGAAAAAACAACAGAGCCTCAAAGCCCTGTGGGGCTATAACAAAAGAGCTAATATTTATGTCATCTAAGTCCCAAAAAGGAGAGCAGAAAAGAGGTGTAGCTGAAAAGTATTCAAGGAACGAATACCTGTAAATCCTTCAAATTTGGCAAAAAATATAAACCTGTATATTCAACAAGCTGAGCAAACCCCAAACAGGATAAACTCTCACAAAGAAAGAAGTGTATATGGAGACACATACAGTCAAACCCCTAAAAACTAAAGATAAAGGGAAAAAAATGTGTAAAACTACAAGAGATACACCTTAGTTATGGGGGGCGGGAAACTATTTGAATGATAGCAGATTTCTCATCAGAAACCATGGAAGTCAGAAGAAGTGGCACATTTTTCAGGTTCTGGTAGAAAAGAACTCTCAACCCAAAATCCTGTGTCCAGCTAAAATTTACTAGAGGTATATTCAGGAATGCCTTCTGAATGAAGGGGGAAGTCACGACATTCTCAAATCAAAGAAAATGAAGAGAATTTGTAGCCAGCAGACACACCCTAAAAGAATGGCTAAAGGAAGCTCTCAAAACAGAGTGAAAAGGATAAAAGAAGCATTCTTGGAACTTCAGTAAGTTAGAAAGAATAAGAGAAAGACTAAAAGTATGGATAAATATAATAGACTTTCTTTTCTGGAGTTTTCTAAGTTATGTTGGTGGTTGAAGCAGAAATTATAACATGGTTTGATATGGTTCTCAGTGTATGTACAGGAAGTATTTAAGGCAATTTTACTATAAATGGGTTAGAGTAAAAGATACAAAGAGGCAAGGTTCCTATACTTCACTTGAATTCAGAGGGAATTCATAAATTGACACTTTAGGCTCAGGTATCAAACTGTGATAAGATATGCATATATAATAGAATACCTAGAGCAACCTGAAAAAGGTATACAAAGAGGTACACTCAAAAACACCATAAATAAATTGAAATGGAATCCTAAAAAATGTTCAAGAAACTTATAGAAAAGGAGGAAAAGGAAAAAGAGAAGCTAGAAGCACAGAGAAAAAACAAAGCAACCTAAAATGAAATGGGAGACTTGAGCCTTAACACATCAATAATTATATTTAATGTAAATAGACTGAAATGCAGCAATTAAAAGATAGATATTGGCAGAGCAGATCTGAAAGAGACCCCAATATAGGCTGTCTACAAGAATCTCCTTTCAAATATAATGATCAAAGCAAGTTGAAAGTAAAAGGATGGAAGAGATATGCCATGCAAACATTAATCAAAAAATGCAGGAGTGACTATATTAATA